TTCCATACTCCAGTTACAATGTCCCCTAGTTAGCGTTTTTTCAACCCAATTTAACTCAATTACTCAGCAAATTTTTGGCACATGTGCCGCTACTTGGGGCACCGGTGCCGCTGCAACGCGGTAATCGTGCCCGGGGGGAGGGGGCACGCATGTATTTTGCGTGCCGTTACCGTGCCGTTACCGTGCGCATGTGTGCCGTTCTTTGAATTTTTTTTTCTCAAAATCGGATAAATTCGTCGACTTTCTTCGAATTAAACAGTTTATTCGATCAGAAGGTCGACAAAAAAAAAGCTAAAAATTGAATAAAAACAGTGATGAGAAAAATTAAAGTTGTGTTTAGAGAAGATTGTGAAAAGGAAGTTGATGAGTTTTTTTGTAATTAATTTTCTCCCTCGTCTTCTCCAGCTTCGTTCGCATTGGGCTTGGCAGTATGTCTCTGAAAGAATGTTAAAGATTAGTTACGAAAAAAATTTGATGAAAACTCACTTTTCTTATAGTGAAGTATCTTTCTGAAAATCCATCGGCAATTATGGAAGTTCCCAGACGCCTTTTTGGACCTGGAAAATGAACGATGAAATTAAGTTCCCGTACTTTTTGGCCTCCTGGAAACAGGTGCTCAAAATTGTATAGGTAAAACATTTTTTTATTCGAAAATATTAATTTTTCAAGATTTTGAATGAGAAAATTGAGCCAATTCAATATTCTAAATTTTAAAAATTGTCTATTTCAGAAAGTCGCCAAACTTCTTCCGATAACTAATGAATCCGCTGAATTCCATTAATTTCTGTATAATTTTTTTCCTGTTTTTCTTACTTTTTTGTGAATACTTTGAAGCAATTTTTATTCTATCTTTCCAATCTACTCTCATTTTGCTCCTAACTAATTTTAAATGAATATTATAAAAACCAAGAAATTTATAAAAAAAAAGGAGTCTATGAATCTAGAAGATATTGCAGTTGAGAAATTTGAAATTTTCCAAAATTTGAAAACTTTAGTTTCTTGAAACTTGTTGATCTCCATCTTTCGATTTTCGAGTTTCTAAAATCTTGAAACATTGAAAAAACACAGAAATTCAAAAATCGAATCATTTCGTTTAGTTTAGGTAACTTCCCAACAATACAACAATCTATTTAGCAATAACCAGTGAGTAATTGATTAATTAATTAGTTAACCAATTAATTATCTCCAAAATATTCTTCCACTTTATCCTATGAACTCCAGTGATCCTCAATCCTAGTATTCATCCAATTTTTGTAATTTAGGCTCAATTTTCGAAACTTGGAGATAAAAAATAATTGGCTCCGTTATTCCGATATTTTGAGTTTCTAAAATTTTTGAAAAATTCAGATGAATTTGAAAATTTTAAGTTGATTTGGAAATTTCCCAATTTTTCGAAAAAATCTTTACCGTAAACCCTGTAATAGAAAGGCCCCCAAAATTCTAACTTTTCGAGCCAATTTTTCTCATTCCCTATCTAAGATATAAGAAGTAGCGATTTTCAAAATTTTTAATTCTCGAAGGAATAAACAAAAATGGTCCAAATTTTTGTAATTCGTCACAGAAAATACTAAACTACTGATAAATGTCATAATCGATGTGTTTTTGTCCAGAAATACTTTATTTCAACGCAATCATGAAAAATATGGTTTTAATTACATTATTTCTGTTGATTTTCAATTTTGCGAAAAGTTACGTGATGCACAGAAATTGAAGGCAACGAATCTTGGGAATTTGGAAATTTTACGTGATTCACAGAAATTGAACGTTTCAATTTCTGGGATTTTTCACAGAACTCGAACGGTTCGAGTTCTGGGATTTCGGAAATTCACGTGATTCACAAAACTCGAAGCTTTCAATTTCTGGGATTCTGGAAAAGCATGGGGGGGGGGGGTAGGGATTCAAGAAGGGTCGTGATAAAGCAAAATGAATATTAGGAAACTATCGTTGGACTTGTTGTTTTCTATAAAACGGATCCTTCGAGCTTTTTACTTCAACCCTTCCAATGCGACTCAGAATTTTCAACTAGTTTTTCAGCCAACAGAGAGCTCACATCGAAAAATTATCTTCAAGCTCGAAGGATCCGTTTTATGGAAAACAACAAGTCCAACGATAGTTTCCTAATATTCATTTTGCTTTATCCCGACCCTTCTTGAATCCCTACCCCCCCCCCCCCCCTCCCATGCTTTTCCAGAATCCCAGAAATTGAAAGCTTCGAGTTCTGCGAATCACGTGAATTTCCAAAATCCCAGAACTCGAACCGTTCGAGTTTTGTGAAAAATTCCAGAAATTGAAACGATCAATTTCTGTGCATCACGTAAATTTTCCAATTCCCAGAATTCGAAGCCTTCAATTTCTGTGCATCAATTGTTCTTTTTTATCACCGAATAAATATATATTTGTGTATCGAAAAAATTCTATTGCAAGTACAGGAAATACTACTCGAAAAGGCTTTATGATTTTGCATGTAAATTTGAAAATTTTTTTCGCTCCGCAAAGAAAATGCGAAATTACTGAAACTTCACAGAATTTTTGGAAATCGAAGTGATTTGGGATGAAAATTGAAAAGTTTTGAAAATCGCTCCTTCTTATATAAAAAAGTTGTCAACTGATAAATTGTTTATCATAATATCAAAAACATTGGTATAATTCAAATATAGCCCCCACCTCAAAATGACCCCCACCTTATAAACAACTATAGTAGAGCCCCCCACCAGTACAAAAATGGGTGGGGGGCTCTACTGAGGTGTGGGGGGCTGAAGTTGAATTGTCTGATTAAAGTATGACCTCCCACCAGTACAAAGTGGGGGCATATACTTGAAGAACCTGGTATTCTTAAAATCTGGCCCCCACCCCTCCCTGCC